TGATCATAGAGAATTGTCTTTTCCACTTGATTAATTCAAGAAAGAAAGTCTCAGGATCGATCAACCTGTATTTCTGGATGCAGATCAATGAAATGACAGTTTCTGACCATATGATCCTAAGGTCATTGATTTGACATAAGGTCAAGTTCACTACATTATCATCATCAACCGTGCATAACATCATCAAAAGATTCAGAGAATCTGGAACAATCGCTGTGCGTAAGGGTCAAGGCCGTAAAACTCTACTGGATGCTCGTGATCTCCGGGCCCTTAAACGTCACTGCACCTCAAACAGGAATGCCACTGGCAAGGAAATAACAGAATGGGCTCAGGAATACTTCCAGAAAGCATTGTCAGTGAACACAATCCACCGTGCCAGCCGTCATTGCCAGCTGAAACTCTACAGTGCAAAGGGGAAGTCATTTCTAAGCAAGCTCCACAAACTCAGACGTTTGCACTGGGCCAGGGGTCATTTAAAATGGAGTGTGGCAAAATGGAAGACTGTTCTGTGGTCAGATGAGTCACGATTTGAAGTTCTTTATGGAACACTGGGACGCCATGTCATCCGGACCAGAGAGAACAAGGATAGCCCAAGTTGTTATCAACGCTCCGTTCAGAAGCCTGTATCACTGATGGTATGGGGTTGCATGAGCGCTTGTGGCATTGGCAGCTTGCATGTCTGTAAAGGCACCATTAATGTAGAGAACTATGTTCAGGTTCTAGAACAACATATGCTCCCATCTAGACGTCATCTCTTTCAGGGAAGACCCTGGATTTTTCAACACGATAATGCCAGACCACATTCTGCAGTAATCACAACATCATGGCTACGCAAGAGAAGGATTCGGGTACTGAAATGGCCAGCCTGCAGTCCAGATCTTTCACCTATAGAGAACATTTGGCGCATCATAAAGAGGAAGGTGCACCAAAGAAGGCCCAAGACGATTGAACAGTTATAGGCCTGTATTAGACATGAATGGGAGAGCATTCCTATTTCTAAACTTGAGAAACTGGTCTCCTCTGTCCCCAGATGTCTGTTGAGTGTTGGAAGAAGAAGGGGGGATGCCACACAGTGGTAAAAATGGACTTGTCCCAACTTTTTTGGGATTTGTTGACACCATGAAATTTGGAAACAACAGATTTTCCCTTAAAATGATACATTCTCTCAGTTTAAACTTTTGATCTGTGATTTGTGTTCTATTCTGAATAAAATATTAGATGTTGGCATCTCCACATCATTGCATTCAGTTTTTATTCACAATTTCTTTGGTGTTCCAACTTTTTTGGAATCCGGATTGTATTTGTAATTATTTTTTCTATCCTTAACGTGTTTTTTTTTTGTCTTTCAGATACACCTGGACTTATACCTGGACCTACCATTCTGTGTTCGTCTGTCTCTCCTTCCTGTCCTCTCAACCAGCCGGTCAAAGAAGATGGCCGCTTGTCCTGAGCCTGGTTCTGCTGGAGGTGTCTTCCTTTTAAAAGGGAGTTTTTCCTTTCCACTGTTGCCACTGTGCTTGCTCAGGATGGGAGACTGCAACGAAGCCAAGATTCAACTTGTCTGCTGGATTCCTTAGAGAACTTTACTAATTGGCTTTTATGTGAATGTTTCTGTAAAGTGCCCTTAGACAACTTTGTTGTGACTTGGCGCTATATAAATAAACTGAATTGAATTGAACAACGGAACTAACAGAGTAACATAGCACTAAGCTAGCTCCATCCCTGAAAAACTGAGTTGTTACCCTAACATGGGATGACAAGCAAACTACAAACAGATTTAAAGTAAAGGTGGAGCGTTTCAGGATGGAAAAACCTAAAATCTTCTGAGTAGAACAGCTTACCTATAAGCATGTGTACAAAAGAAAAGCTACTTATTCGGGGGCGTGGCTTCTCTTTGACGGGGTGCTGGCTGGTCGGTCTGGTGTGACATTCGTGGTGGGGGTGCATAGGTGGCATGCCGGGGCTCCTCCGGGCCTGTGGTGTGGGGCTGTTGGGGTGCCTGGTCCTTGGTGTGCTGGGCCGGCCTTCCTCAGCTGCTGCTCTGGCCCCCGGCCTGGGGCCGGCTTGTGGTCGCTGTCGGGTGGGTGGGGCGCATGGACGACCCGAAAGAGGCTCTGTCGGGCTGTCTCTGTGCACCTGTTTATGTCTCGGGCTTGGTTTTAGGTGGTCCCCTCTCTTGGATCAATTTGGGTCCCCCATTTAATATGGGGTCTACTTCCCCCTGTCGTGCTCCCCTCCGGTGGTGGGCCCCACTGCCGCCGGTGCATTGGTGGCTCTCGGCATCTGGGGCTGGGTGGTGGGGTGTGTGCAGGCCCGCCCTGGTGGCTGCCTGCCGGGCCCTGGGTGCTCTGGCTTTGTCGGGCCTCTGTTGTGGGGTGGTATGACCTTGGGACTCTGGGCTCGGTGTCCATGGCCGGATCTACTCTGAAGGGGGTGGGTTGCCGGCGGGGACTGTGGACTTGTCGCTGCAGCCTCCTGGGGTTTTTGCATTGTGGTTGCTGGGAATCGCCCGGGGCTTCCCTTTGCTTCTCTCTCTGGGGGGTGCGGGTGTCCCTTTTGGGGGAGTCCCGGAGTTCCGGGCTTGGGGCCCGCTGTGTGTCTGTGGCTCCGGTCTTCCCTGTGTTACCATCGTGTCCTGTGGGGATGGGTCTGTGGGTCCCCACATCCACTATTGAACAGTTTTATGAAGAAACCTTCTAGTGATAAGCATGCTCACACAGGTGTTTAGATCCAAGTGTTTATCAGTTACACACTTAGTTGGGTTGTGGTGGCCACTAAATACATCTTGTATTACCATGTACTGTATAAAATACTTTCTAATGATGTTATAAGTATCATTATATATGTTGTTTGTTGTTGTGCCTTCTCGGTTTTGTCTTGTCTTTTCTTTTCGCAGGTCTAGAGGCAGACCAATGATGTTGATTTGTGTTCTCTTTATACCGCTCTCTCTCTATTCCTACCTCCTTCTTTACCTTTTAACCCTTCTCTCACTTTTCTGCTTTGTTATCTTCTTTGTTTTTCATCCCCGTGTCCATTACATCTGAAACAAACCCAAAGCAAATTCTAATAAAATTTAATTTATATATCAAGCGGAGCATTAAGGCCAGCCATAATGCTCTGCTTGTGAAAGTAAAACTGCTGGGCATCACTTTGGCACTCAGACAATAATTCTGAGTGTCACAATGCCGGACAGGACGAGGGGAAAAAAAAAGAAAAGCTACTTATTTATGTGTTCTGAACGATACTGCAGGCTCAGGTACGTCAGAGTTGGCCCAACACACCCAGACAAAACAGATGTGAGTTGATCCAATATGTGAAATGATTGTTTATGTTAGTGAAATCAAAGTCATACTGAAAACAGACCCATATTGAGCACTAAAGGACTCGACATACTCCATCTGAAGCAGAACAGTCGACGTGCGGTCACATGGTTGCGGGAGGTTCATTTTTGCACACCTTTCATAGTCCAAGAGAAACATGGTGCAGAGGTCTAGGGAAACCCCTCCTGCTGCAGTAAATGTCAGCGCAGAGTTTCTTGCTGCCAGAGCCTCCATCCATGCATCCACCATTTGGCCACAAATAAATTGTAAAGAAAACACCACACTTTTCAGCAGACAGACCCTCCGTACATAATGTGTGCACGATCTCCATCCAAGAGTTTTTGGCTATTAGACTAATTTAGTGAGTTTGGGAGTGGTGGCACAGAGGGAACAGCCGAAAGAAGAAGAAGAAGAAAAAAGGGACTACTTTAGTGCGTTTGAAGAGTTGTACAGCTGAAAGTCAGTGCGTGTCTGCATTGAAAAACACACCCACAAACTTCTGACCAGTCACAAAATACTTGGTGCATACACCTGTGAGAGAAAGTTTGGCCTTGTGTCACCATGGGGCAGGCGAAGCTGCTCTGAAAACAAAATGATGCAATTTTCATCACGTAACTACGTCAATGAGAGTCGATTTCGCTGGTTCAGATGGAGTCTGCAGGGCCATTTTGTGTACTGGACTCAGATCCAATGAGGACAATAAATATTTATCCCTCTGTGTTTTTATAAAAAGTGGATGCGATTTACAGGCCTGGCTGTGAGAACACCTGACAGAGCAGTGGGTTTCTGTGAGTTGGAGTTTGGTCTTTATCTCTAAACTGTTGGAATATTTGGACTCACCCCTCTCCTGGTTCATGGAAGAATGCATAATGCTGTCTGACTGGACGCTAGGCGGTCGGGGGGGCATCTGGTTACCTGCAGGACACCAAAGATAAATCAGATTTAAAAAATAAAATAAAAAATATGAAGTTAGCTTAAAAACTCTTGACTGTCTTTATTATTTACATTTCCTGATAATTTATGTTTAAAAATAATTTTTATTTTCTCCACGAAGATGTTATTGTAGCATCAGATTCTGTGATGCCACAAAAAGAAAAAAATAATGCTCCTGTCTTGACACGTTGCTTCCTAAAGTTAGACGAGTTGCATCAAAATAAGTATTAACATCAAATTTTAATCTCTCCTCTCCTCAGTGTCCAGCTACAGTCACACCTGACAATATGAACTGAAACTACTGAAACAGATATAACACATTTTTACCTTTAGGTAACCTTTACCTAAGATCCAGCTCTTACAATTAAAAGACACATTTTTTTGTTTTGCTTTTTCCAGCTATAAAATATCAAACATTTTGTTAGACATCTTATTTATAAAAACTACTACACACACAGCAGATCTGATCCAGTATTGACATTCGATACCAGCATAATTTACGTATCTGATTTTTCCGATTCAACCTGTCAATCTTTCCGATCCATGATGCATGTCTGTGTCTGATGACCTGCTCTGCAGGTTGGCTTCAAACAATGGAATGGATTTCCTGAACGGAGGCATGTTTCTTGAAACCCAGAGTAATAAGACCCACCTCACATTCAGGAAATCAATTTCATTGTTTGCAGCCAGCTACAACGTGAGTAAATTCTCTTTTGCGGGCTGAGCACTGAGCAGCACTGTAGCTAACAGCTAACCAATTTTACATCGTAACATGTCCGATGTGTGGAAGTATTTTACACTAAACACCGAAAGACAGGAACATGCAATGTCTGGAGTCTCTGTACCGAGAGGAGGAAGCTCAGTCGCGATCTACAATACAATAAACTTAATAAACATTTGAAAAAGCACCACATTAAAGCGCACGAGGATTGTTTAGCCAGGCACCGCGGTAAAGTTAGTTTTACGTTGGACGTTCGAGCTCCATGGCTTCAGCGGCATGTTCCTCTCGTCCATTCCGGAGCAGACTGAGCGTGGCTGACTGAAAACAGACTGCCTGCTTCACAGCTTGATTGAATATTTGCAGCAAAAATACAGTTTACGTTTACCCTCCACGAGATATTTATCAGCTCAAGATGAGAGTTCTGTGATGGAGTTAAATTCAAAGCAGTCTGCTCAGATAAATAGTCTTAAATTATTATTTTTATAAATGAATGTTTCTGTTAACTTATTTTAATGTTTCTGTACAGTGCCCTGAAATGACTTCTGTTGTGACTTGGCACAAAATAAATAAACTGAATTGAACAGACAATCATAAAAAAGAATATGAACTGAAAAACAAAAGAAAATTATATATGTATAAAAAAAATAGGGGAGTGGTGGCGCAGAGGTTAGAGAAGGTGGGCCTGTGATCGGAAGATCGCCAGTTCAAGCCCCGGTACCGACAACATCAAAAATGTGGGTGGGGTAGGTGAAGCACCCACACCTGCCCCCACCCTCATTTGTCCCACTCTGGGCCCTTTAGCAAGGCCCTTAACCCCCACCA